AACTTGACCATGGTTTTGCATAAGCTAACACCTCCTCCAAGCAACACTTTTCTACCCTCCACTTGGAAATCCATCATTAAGGACTTCCAATCCACCTTCATCTCTCTCAATGTTCACAGACACTTCATCCTCAGAATCACATCTGTGTTGCCCAAATCTAAAGGAAGCAAGTTTTCCACCGCCTATAGGTCGTGTAGTGTCAAAACCCCTGTCGCCATCATGACTTCAAAGCTCTTTGAAGTCACCAGCTTCAACCCTAACTTCTCTGATTTGAGATAAAGTTATGTGTGGTCATGTTATATACCAACACCACAATTGGTTCTCTAATGCATTCCCTCATCTTCATGTTTCGACTAAGGGTAAATCGCACCACCGAATTGAGGGGCACCTCCGCCACATCCAAATGCATATGCTCCTCCTCTGTTGCTTCCTCTTCTGATCCTTCAGTCTCTGTAACATCCTCTTGAACTAAAATAACTTGAAGGGCGCACTCCTTGCAATGGTGTCCAGGGGCGTATTTGTCATCAAAGCACTAGCATAATCTTTTGGTTCTTTTGTTCTGCACTTCTGCATCTATGAGGCACTTGAAATTACCCCCGGGCTGGGGTCCGGTGCTTTTCTCCTTCGATTCACTTTTTGAAATAAAAATTGTCCAGGTCATTGGTGTTCTGGCTGTCATGGTGTTCTTGTAGAATCCCCTAGTGTTGTCGCCTTTTTCGGTTTTCTTCACTTGTTTCTTATCCTTCATCTTCCATCATCTGGGCAAACTCCATCATTTCCCTCAATCTACGCGGTTTCAAGGGGCGGATGGCTACTATTATGTCGGGTTTTAGACCTTTCAAGAAGTTCTTTTCCAGTCCTACTGTAGAAATCCCCCTCGACCTCTCCGATAAGAGCTTGAATTTCTGTCGATAATCCATAATCGTCCCCTCCTGAGTCAGAGCATAAAATTGTTCTTGTAGGTCTTATTCCCAAAATAGCTCGGAAACGCTTCAACAGGAAATCCTTAGACCACTACCAAGAGTACATCAAATATCTTGCCTTCATCCACTGGAACCACGCTAAAGCCTTTCCCTCCAAAATCCAAACATAATCCCGCTGTCATGAGCATTTCTTCCTTAATCATCTTGTTGATTGCAAAGTATCGTTCCACTTGATACACCAATCCATGTGTATCCTCCCCTTCAAACATCGGCTTCTTCAATTTTCTGACCCTTGCATCTCTACCTCAATTTCTACTCCCTCTGAAATTTCCCACCATGTATCTAGGGTGAAACTCCCTTCTGTGGGCATATTCCGACTCCTGATTCCCTTCTTCCTCCATCATATATTTTCACGCCCCTTCCTCCATTCCTTCTCCAATTTTCAACCCATTCCCCTCCATCGGAAGTTTCCACTCCCCCTTCTTTCAGAGTCTCAAGGGGGCGCTCTTATAAGTAGATGATGTCATCTTCGTTGTCTTCTCGCTCGATTTCCTTTCCTTTTGGCCTGACCAAAGATTCCGTGATCAACCTTTGGTTAGAGTTTGCAACTGGAGTGGTCGGCATGACCTTGGATTGCATCTCCATGAGCTTTTTTAGCATCACCCGCATTTCTCATATGCCTACAAATCTATCATTCATTCGACTTTCAATAGAAGAAAATTTGTCCTCAATAGTCGCAAACCTTTCTTCCATTCCAGATTGGATTTGCTCTAATCCTAGCACATCATCATTTTTTGCTGCCCTCCCACCAAGATCTATGCTATGATACCAATTTAATATGCCTCGACACCAAAATCAACGAACAAACTACAACAAAATCACAATAGAAAAGTGAAAAAACAAAAACAATGGCAGCTCTTATAACAATCAAAGGAAAGATACAAGGCTGATCTACTATGTAAGAAGTAGATCATCTCTCCCACACCCTAGACGTTACTAGAAAAACCACAAGAAGAAAAAAAACAACAGCCACAATAAAAACATGGGAAAGATACAAGGCTGATCTACTATGTAAGAAGTAAATCATCTCTCCCACAACCCTAGACATTACTAGAAAAACCACAAGAAGAAAAAAAAACAACAGCCACAATAAAAACATACATAAAAAAATAAAATTCTAAGTTTTCCCCTTAATAGAATCCCTTCCCAGTATTTCAAAAACTTTCCTTACTAACTTTCCCTCCAAATTCTTTTAATTTCTCCTCCTTGCATGGGTGATTATGGCCCTAGTGGACCACACCCTCCCTTTCCTTCTTCGGCGACTCTCTCAGTTTGCTCCACTCCTATCTGTCACCAGAAAGGATCGGCTCCTCTATAAGCAAAACAAAATCATACGCAAGTGATCCATCTTCGCAATCCCTCACTGTCGTCAATGTTGCCCTCTCATAAAGAAAGCTTTAAATGCAGGGAAATTGTGTTCTCATAAATAAAGCATATTAATGTCATTTTTAAAATGTTAAACCATGACTACATATGTGCATTCGTCATCGGTTTCGCAATATATTGCGAACGAACAAAAGATGATATTTTAAAAGCTTAAAGTGAATCTGTGCATGCATTAATATATTCATTCAAATTATGTAATTTTATATAACTTCAGGTCTGACACGTATCTTTTAAAATAATTATTGATTCAATTCATGTTTTAAAATCATATAAATTGCCTTGAGACATACAATGTTATCTTAAGAAATCAAACAAATGAAATTAAAAACACACATATACTCCACCAAATTAACTAAATGTTTAAAATTAAATAGTCTAAGAATGTTGTACGGGTCAAAGTCGAATTTCCACTCAAATAATTCTAGCTTTGAAAAGCGTGCAAAATCCTTTCAAAAAAATCTATGATTATTTAAAAGTTAAGATGCCTCATGTTTTAAAAATGAAATTCAAAATAATCAAATCATGCATGCTTTCAATTGGGTCACTTTGTCTTTAAGAAATGATTGTAAGTCCCGCTCAATTAATTTGACATTCCTCCTCTGAATGACTGGAGTTGACAAGTCTAATAATTTTAATAACCACCAAAAAAAGAATATAAAAATTTGCAATTACAAATCACCTAGTTTTATCCCCTCCTTATAAAAATTAGAATTGACGAATCTAAGGTTTTATATCTATTAAAGTGTAAAATGTCAAATAAATTTCCAACATAAATATTTTGATCGAATCTCTGATGATGGATAAGTTGAAACACTACATATTAATATGAGCTTTAATACATGAAATCTCCTATTTCCTCTTTCTTTGTTGAGAATAGTGTTACAAATTAATCATCTTGTCCATGCATTTCCCAGAAAAACAATGTGGTTGAAGTAACAACTTTTTTTGGGATGTCATTATCATATCTTGCTAAATAATGATTCAATTGTTCTCCATTGCGTAGGGTAAGGCTACTCAATTTTTTTTTATTATCCCTCAAATTTTCCTTTATGTTGATTTTGTTCAATTTTTTAGCCTAGCCCACACGAAAAATTCTCATCTCGCTCAATTTGATGCATATTTAAGGTTATACCTGCACTTAGTCCCTCTCTATCTCTCATAATTCATGCCTTCATAATTCTCCTCTATTAGTCTACATACCACGTTAGTCGTGATGGTTGCTACTGCTCCCTTACAATTTTGTATTCATAGTATTAACTCCATCCACCTCATCGACTATGATTAAGCATTCACCTAAACTTAAGCGCTGAAATATACATCTTCCTATTCCATTGTGAAAATATAAACGACATTATAATAAATACGGCTACTCCTGTTTATATCCTTTGATCATCTATAATCTTTCTTTTGTCAAGATTGCATTGTCTTCATCTACTATCTCTATTCTCACAATTTATCTTAAGGATCAACTAGAAGCTAGCTAGAGGTTTATAATAGGCACCAAAATGAATGCTTTTATTTATTTTCATGCCAATGATTTGGTTAAGCCTCATTCTAGGTTTAAGCACACTTCATGTTGCCAGTTCTTTTCTATAAAGTTACCATCCATAACATTTTATTGAATGCTATAAAAGCTTTGATTAGTTACAAAATGGTATACAGAGGTCCATCACATCAACCATTTTAAGACTTTCTTCTCAGTAGCTTTGCTTAATTTTTTTCATCGTCTTCTCTTTATTGTCATTATTCAAGGATAAAATATGCTCCAAATGATTCAAGTATGCTTTTCTCTATAGAGATCTGCCAATAGCTACTTATACAGAGCAAACTTTAGGATAGAAAACTCAAGAGAAAAGCAAAATATACGGATGTAAAAAAGTTGTATGTGGATTAAAGAAAAGTCATTGCTATTGGTTTGACAGACTCTGTAAAGCTCTCATCGGTATTAGACTATAAAGAAGCGCTATTGATCATTCCATCATTAATGACTCTCTTCTCCCAACACTACGATTCTTACAATGGATGATGATGGCATTCTTCTAAGTAGGAATTACACTCCTGACATTAATGAAATAAAAAAAATATCTTCGAAATATATTTGTAGCAAAATATTTGAAGTACTTGAATTACCAAAAAAGTGCTAAATACATGTTACCAGAAAAGTCTTCAACGGTACTTAATCATTAATGTTGGAAATTGAACTCTTCATTATATAAACCCAAGTAATCCTTACTCGTAAAACATCACAAAATCATAAGCAAATATAAACATGAAAGGGAGGACAACAAGAGAGAACGGAAGAGAAAACAAATCTACTAGTAGAGAAGAGCTGAGAAGAAAAGGAAAACTATCATCAATGCTTTTTTTCTCCACGTCCAACTTTCAGCTACAAAACAGGTGATTGTGTTACATCTCAATCAACACAGACAAAGTGATATTTTTGCCTTTAAGCTTTGCAGTGAAAAACACAAATGTTGAGACTACTGAAACTGCCTTGGAAATCCAAACCCTTATAATTGAAGTAGCCAAATCCTAATTAAAAAATTTCAGGAATACCAAGAACTTCAGCCCATTAAATAAGAACAACTAAAGAGGGAAACAGAAAAATGACTAAGACATAAGCAGGAATACCTAGAGTAGCCATTATAGCAGCAAAAACAATGATGCCCACAGGTTGTACTCTCAATTTGCCAATTGGAAACCGGTAAATGTTCACCTTTTTCATATACAAATGAGTAAACCACAAAATACCGCCAGCCATAAGGTCCAACAAAGAATCAAGAGTGGAAGCAGCGATGGCTATTGATCCACTCCTTATTGTAGCATAAATCTGCACTTTCCAATAAATTTATTCGGTGACTTGATCAATACACTGAACCGATGACAAATTTTATAAATAACAGAATGTAAATTTCCCATTTTATACGTAACAGAATGCTGACTAGTTTTTTTTTTTTTTTTTTTTTTTTTTTTTTTTTTTTTTTTGTAGGATTGCCGCTCTCCTCAGTTTTAAGGTGAAGGCAGCTCTACCAGCTAAGCCGAACATTGTGAATCTACGGACTTTAATAAACCAAAATAATAATAATATTAAACATGATACCTTCAGTGCTAATAGAAGAATATTAGCATAATTTGAAATTTTCATAGCAAATTCACTCTCTGCTATCTCCGCCTTCTGCTCTTCTTCAGTGACGGAATCAGGCTCGTTCAAAGCATCCACTTCCTCAAAGGATCTCAGAGTCTCGAACTGCCTCTGATAGTATTCTTTCTCTCCTAACCAATTTCGACAACAGGACAAGCCAAAACATATCCGCGTACGGGAATCGTCATTAGCAAAAAGAAACAAAAAACCAAAAAAGGGCAATACCTTTCTTCAATCCTTCGACGTTAGATGTGACGAAGTCCGAAGGCTTCTCAGGGTCGACACCTACCCTCACCTTCTCAGGGAGTCTCATGAGGAAGCCCCTTCGCAGAGATGTCACCGAGTTCCTGAACCGAACCATTCCGGAACCCATCCCGGCCCCTGCCGCCGATGGTGTTGGCGGCGGCGGGATCGGTTCGTCATCTTTAAGCAGCGCAGCCCGGAGCTCTTCGCCTCCTCTTCCTTCCCTCCCTTCCATTCCCAAACTGTACGAATCCAATGCGCAATGGAGGGGTAGGTTGCTAGCAGACACCGCACGCAACTATGCTTGCGGTGTCCAATGGAAATATGACACCTGGAATAGTGGGCCCCACAACTTAAAAAATTAAATTGAGACATGTATACGGCGCGACCCGGCCCGAATCTGGCCCGAAACGTGTAAAAGTTAACTGAGCGCCTGAAAGAAACTTATTCCTCGAAAAACCAAACGACGCCCGAGCGAGGATCGCACAGAGGACCTTCATTCAATCTTTATTCAATCTTTTAGGGTTTTTGAATCAGATAAACTCAGGCTGTTAGATTTGTCGTTGGAAACCGAAGAGAGCCAGTGAGAATGGAGACGGAAGAGCCCGTGATAATGGAAACCGAAGAGGAATCGACAATGCAAGCCGAGAAACCCAAGAAAAAGGAAGGAAAAGAGCGAAAGAAGAAGGAAAGCGAAGAGGGTTCATCCAGGTAATTTTTATTTTAGTGTTTTTGAGTTCTACACACGTGCACACAATATTACCTTTAAAAATCATCATTAAACAGCAATAAAACTTGCTATTTAATTATAATACAAAAGCAACCACTATTTAACAACACCTTAAATCTCAACTCAGTATTACAGAAACAATGTTATGATAATAACAGAATACAACGAAGAAATGACCAGAATATAACCTTAATTCTACATCAAAATATAACCTTAATAATAATAATACCCGAATACAACTGAAAAACTTCTATAATATAACCTAAGCACTAATTCTGAGTAACACTAGAATATAACGTTATCCTAAATAATATTACCTGAGTATCACAGAGATAATACTATAATAATTACAGAATACAACGGAAAAACTACCAGAATATAACCTTAATACTACATTGGAATATAACCTTGATAATATTACCTGAATACAACAGAAATACTTCTATAATATAACCTAAGTACTAAACCTGTACAAAAAAATACAACAGCAGTACAACAGCAACACAACCATAATATAACCAAAACACTACCATGTTATCCTAAATAATATTACCTGAGTATCAGAGAGATAATACTATAATAATTACAGAATACAACGGAAAAACTACCAGAATATAACCTTAATACTACATTGGAATATAACCTTGATAATATTACCTGAATACAACAGAAATACTTCTAGAATATAACCTAAGTACTAAACCTGTACAAAAAAATACAACAGCAGTACAACAGCAACACATCCATAATATAACCAAAACACTACCATGTTAGAATACAACGTAAGTATCACCATAATATAACCTAAATAATACTATGCTAGATCACATAATATTGCTTAAATATTACCATTGTATTCCCGTAATAAAACATTTATACATAACCCCTTATATTTTTTTGCACTATTTTGTTTGATGTAGGTTTGTGAACCCAAGGTCCATCAGTTCTAGATGTCGACCATCTGTAGTTCGAGATGCACTTGATAAGGTCAGGCTTGTCGTATCTGACGGGATGATGAATGAGCTGAAAACCTTGAATGTTGATCAGTTCTTTGCACTTCCACCTTATCCCCAAGACAATGTGGTCACACTTCAAATATTGCAATGTTGGATACATGAAAAAATGGTTTTCAGACTGGGAGGGAAAGAACTGAGGATTAATCCTGATGAAGTTGCCCTCTTGGTTGGCATGCCAAATAGAGGAGAAGTTCCAAAGTGGAAGAAAGTTCCATCCTGTGGCGTTGATGCCCGTCAAATGAAGGCTGATCTGTTGACCTTCGGAACTGGGGAGTCTTCTGCCCCTTTTAATCAATTGTATATAAACTATCTGTTATCAAATTTATTTTTTCCGTCTAGTAATTTCAGTGTATCCAAAGGACTTTACATCTTTGGAGAGAATGTAGATACATTTGCTTCATTTAATTGGCCCGCTGCGCTATGTGAATATCTTATTGAGCAAATAAATGCGGTTGCCATCAAAATAAGGCGGAACCGGCCTTTGGGATATATAAATGGTTTTCTTTTTTTGCTAACGGTAAGTACATCGTATTAAAACCAAATGCTATTTATTTTGATTTCTTTGTCTAAAGCTAAATATGTCTTTTTCACACAGCTCTGGTTTTATGAGCACACTTCTTTGATTACTCCTGCGAATCCTGAGGCTAGACCTCGAATGTTGAGGTGGCCAACAACTGTAAGCTTGAGCTCATCCCAACTGGATATAGCTTTTAAGATGTTGACTCCTGATCAGGCAAGTTACATATATCTTTAATTTCCAATTAAATTATTATGTCGTTTTGAAACTATTAATGATGAAAGCATTTCTTTTTGAAATTACTCGCAGGTTCATGATAAATTTTTGGATCTGAAAGAGGATGAGTTCAATTTATTATCCAATCCAGATGAAGGATTACCTGGTCCAGTTTCTATGACGCAAGTCCAGGGCAGAGCACAGGCACCTGCATCATTTGATATGGGGCCAGTTGATTCAGGGGACATCGCCCCGGAGCCATTGTATAACACAATAAATAAAAGCATGGAATCAATAGTCCAGCTGCTTAAAGGGCAAGAAAAATGGTTCACTGAATTTCAGGGAACCTTGAATACAATAACTGTTGGAGTATCGAGTTTGCAGGGCCAAATGTCGGTGCTGGAACATAAGTTTGATAAATCTGAAAATATTCCAACTAATAAAGGAAAAGATATCGGAATAGATGATCCCCAGCCAGCCTCCCCTCATGGGTGGAGTCCTCACGATTTTGTTACCCAGCATTCAGCTTCTGTTGATGTTACCCAGCATAAAGATTCTGTTGGAGAGGAGAGAATCCAGCCGTCATATATTGTCGAAGAAGGAACCCCTGTTGAAGGAGAAAAAGTTGAACAGTCTGTTTCCAGCTTAATACAGGGGGTTAAGGGTAGACGAAGCAGAAGAAAGAAGGCGGTGAGTTCACCTTTCACTGTCTTTGAACTGAAGAGACGAAAAACAACTGCGGAAGTCGATGAGGCGATGATCCCCGGGGAAGACGCTGATGTACATTCCACCGACATAGTAGAAGCACAACAAATTCCCGAAGAACCAATAATAGACCCTGTAGCAGAGATGGGTCTTCAAATAATTGTATTTTCTGGTGTACATACGGACCTTAACGTAGAGGGGCAACAAATAGTTGAAGATGAAGTTGTAGCAGGATCACCTGTCCTAGCAGTGACAACTGAAGGAGATGTACCAGATGCTGTTAATGTGTTATTTGGAATTTGTTTTTGATACATAGTCTTATATCATCTAAATTACTTGTGTATTTCAGATGAGCAGGTGATGTGACATAATTTCTTTTTTCTTGTAGCCTCTTCCAGCTGTCCCCCAGATCGACTATCCCGGCAGATCTATGATATCAGCTGAAACGCAGACGGTGATCGATCAGGTCATGGCGAAGTACATCAATGAGTGAGTGATTCTGTGTTTTTTATAATGAAAATCTTTTGGGGTTAAGTGAATGAAGATAAGTTCTTTACTATATTTAGAATTTGTATTCTCATGCAGGAGTGATATTATAGTGCACTTGAAAAACATTTTTATAGATTGTCGGGCAATGATGGAGTTATTATGCAATGGCATGGTAGCAAATGATCATGTCGACGCTCAGGCTATGATTTTGAACAATAAGAGGAATGCAGATCCATCTCTTTTTAGGCCCTACATTTATGTATCACCACTGTACTGGGTAAGACTACATCTAAATATCTAAACGAGCAAGGTATAATTATATTAAGAATTTCAAAAATAATATGAATATGTCAACTCTTGGTTTTATTATACAGGCATATCATAAAATGGGTAACCCCAAATCATTTCTGACTCATATCACCAAAGAAGCAGTTCTTAAAGCTGATATCATTATGATTCCTGTTCTGAACAACCAACACTGGGTTTTATTGGTCGCTGAGCTGCGTGAGGGGAAGTGGAAAATGTACGACTCATTACCCAACCAGATGCACAAAGCCGTGTGCAACGACGTTGTAAGTTAATCTCAATTGTTAAAGATATTATTTTCT